AAAAATCAGGATTGGGTTTGAAGATATCTTTTGTATCAAGAAAGAATGGAGAACAAAAATGAACAGTAAATCTGCAAGCAAGCTCAACAACAGGGGGAAAAAAAAAAAAAGAGGGATAAAAGTGGTTAAAAAGTCCATTTGAAAAGAGAATTAAGAGGTAAGGCAGAGCTGAGTCCAAAGCTGCATTGTGCTGACATACTCTTCAGAGATATTTCAAAAGGAAGGAATGAAGATTAAGAAATTACAAGAAAAAATGTCTGGGGAGAGGAATGAATACAGGGTAATGTGCGAAGCAACCAAAAAAACTGACGTTTAGAGAGGCAGACAGAGATGAAAATAAAGACCAGTGAGTCAAAGAAAGTGAGGCCAACGAAGGAAGGAAGCAGCTGACAAGAGTAAAGGAGTCAGAAAGGTTAATAGACTGGAGATCCCAAAAGGAGTGAGTGACAGGGTAGAGTAGAGAGAAAGACATAAGCTGAAAGAGAACAGGTAGTGATCAGAGAAAGGGAATTTAGAAATGCTACATAATAAAGTGAACAGTATTTAGTAAAGACAAGGTCATGGGAATGATTGAGGCAGTGAGAAAATCAGTCTAAAACTAGAAATGAAAGCCATCAGGCTGAAAAAACAGAAGGAAGAACAACAGAGTTAAGTATTTATCAGGGAGGGAAAAAATAGGGCTTGTCCATGGTAAGAGATAAAATTTGAGAAGACAGAAAAGGGTTGAGTTTAGCAAAGTCACAAAGAAGTATCAAACTAATGGCCACAAGGAAAACTAGACACAGAAGACTTCAAATCAGGAAGAGGATAAAGCAGAGATTAGGGTAGATTAAGCTGAAGCAGAAGACAACATGAATTGCAGGATTTCATTAGTGAATATCAAAAGAAAACAATGTTTTAAAAAGCATCAAGTGAAGAACAACGTTCAAGGAAGGGAATAAACTTTGAAAAAGAAACCTGAAAATCTGGTTTTGAGTCATGTTCAGAAACATAATTAACTCCCAACTGGCCATGCCCAGCATCTGTATTTCCCTCTTTGGGTAATCTTGGCAGAAAGGTTTAGTTACTCACCCAGACCAAACCAGAGACCAGAAATTCAGAAAACCAGCACCGCCACTGGCTAGATTACGTGGGGATGTGGCAGGATTGGAAAGTTAAACTTCTCTGGTAAAGTAACTCAAATGATGGAAAAGTAGTGATTTCCACTCTGCTATCCAGCGCCCTTAACTTCCACATTAACTCTTCACAAAGCAAGACTTGAAGACCTTAGCTGACTTCCTCACATCAACCTCATGTTCCTTTAAGCTCAAATACCCAACGCAGCATTCACCTCCAGCATTCAAATTCAGACATTAAGATTCTCATCTCATTGTGTAAGAACAAAGACAAATATTAAGTGGACAGATTGTTGAAAATAAACACCACTGCGATTTTGGGTCCTGTTGAGAGAACCACTGGCCTAAGAAGTCCTTCCTTTCCAAGCCTTTGTCTAGAATTTAACTCTATGGCTTTCTTCATCATGAGCAGGAATAAAACACTAGCCTTCTCAGACACTTCTAATACTGGATTTCAACATCTGGTATTTTGGTACGTGTTTTAAGTTTCCGCTCATTACAAAAAGACAACATACTTGTACTGCCTACGTGTGCCACTGAGAGCTGGATTGTCAGAGTGCAACAGAAGAGGGGGGAAAAACCCACATTATTCCCTGCTACCAAACCAGTGATACACAGAAATTATAAAAAGTGAGCTCAGCACACGATTGCTATATACCCTACTGATTATTATTTCTGTGTTTATTTGAGGTTCATTCAGAAATACTGAAATAACATAACAACCCACCTACTGATAAACAAGAGCTCACAGGACTAGAGCCATAATGGGAGCTCTTCGTTATTTTTATGCTTTTCAGATACTTTCATATGGTTTGAAAACAACTTCAGATTTGTTTTTAAATTTTAGATAAAAATTCTCTTTAGGGTTAACTTGTGATTATATCTAATGTAGTATTTTTAGATAATTTTTTAACTCATAATATGAAAAAGATTTTCTGAATGTATTGTCTTCTGTTACAACCAAGAAAACTCACCTATAAGCAAAAACTGGAAGTAGTAAACTCTCCAAAACATAAGTAACATCTACTGTAACATATATATGCACATATATATTTCTCTGTAACTAATTTGGAAAATATCATAGAAACAGTATAATTTTTACATTATATTTAGTAACTGCATGTTTTATTTCTATTAGTCTACTGCACAGCAGGGGAGCTTTCAAGACAACACAGATTTTATGCAATATGATTCAAAGCACAAATCTCACTCATGAAGCAAGTTAATACTGTGGCGTTACTGAAATAAAAGGAGAAGCTAGTCAGACATTTTGGTTAGAAATGTAACAAGTTCTCTTTAAAGAAAATAAACACTTAATGCCATAGCTTAAAATAAATAGTGCCAAATGTCACCATCAACAATGTTTGAAAAACAGAATGGTGTTTTATAAAAAGAAAATATTGTACAGGTGTATAGAACACATGGGAGTGTTAGAACATACTTAAGAGTCATTTTCATATGTTACTAGGAGCTTTATTCAGAGGAGTCTACAGTCCCCAGTTATATAAGCAGTTCTATTAGCTGGACTTCGTAATTATAAACTTTGGTACCACAGTCATCTGTACCATTCATTTTATAGATTTCAAAATAGGAACAACTGTTTATTTTCCTCAGCACAAGATTAAATAATAAATATTAAAAAACAAGCAAAAAAAACCAACAAACCAAAACAACAACAAAAAAAAAACCACCACAAATAAAAAAATTGAATGCTAAAGGACACACATTTGATAATTCTTAAATAATTTTTTACTCAACGTATCCTTCCATGTAGTACATGCGGGGGGGGAGGGGGAGGCGGGGGGCAATCTATTATTGGTTTCTTTATAAAAGTTCAATACTTTATGCATAATATTAAATGTAAATAGCCTGACTTGGTTTGGTTTGTTTCAGTGACTCTTAAATGTTCAAACACATTTCAGAAAAAAAAAGGTTTGAGTTCTTGTGCATATTCAGAGCTAATCCCGGCAAGTCAAGCAAGTATTGTGCTGCCTTTTCCAATACAAATCATTCTATGACATGTGAATTATTGTTATAGAACATAACCATCAATTTTTAAATTCAATAAATGAAAACAAACCTAGAAGTTGCTATACACAAACCAAGTTTTCTCAAATACTTCCTCCTTACAAGCTGTCCCACTGAAGTCCTACAAGATTAAGTATCCACAGAAGCTAGAAAGAAAACTACAGATTCATCCTACAAAATCTGGAAACAGAAAAATATAAAAAAATACGTATTAAGATAAGCTGATGATATGACACATACTGTTTAAAAGCTCCTGTATTTTGCCAAACACAAACCCCACAGTTCGATTTTTATTTCTCGAGAATCAAATCAAAATTTAAAGCTGCACAGATAAACAAAAAAATCTGAACATGCAGGAACTGACTCCATCTAGAACCTGTATGTCTATGTACATACTGCTGCTTTATTTGAAATAACTTCTTTTTTACCCACAGAAGGAAAAAGATTTATTTGACCATAACAGCTTCTGATAATAATTATGTTTGGAAAGTTCTGTATAAAAATTCAGATCATTTCATTCTATTTTCCATTTTTACCATACTTAAAAACAAGACACCTTCCTTCCTTAACAATAAAATATTATTTAAGTATACCCAAAAAGGTACTGAAGTCTAACAAAAGGTCTAACAAAAACATTCTGAATTTCCTTTTCAACCAATAAAGTATTTGAAAACCATTTTGCAGATATCCTTATTTCCCAAATGAAGAAGTGGCAACTTTCTCTTAAACACAAAAGCTAAAATTCCCTTTTACTAAATATAAAACTAATTTTCAGGATAGAGTACACAAAATCACATACTAACGAAAAATACAATTTGTGTTTTACTACACTACTATATCTTTTCCAAAAGGTTTCTGTATTTAAAAAATAATTTTAAAAAACATTTTAAAATTTAAATATACTGTAAGGTATTCAAGGCATGCTGTAAGGCCACTCAAATTATTTTGAACACAAAAATCTACAAGCAGTGACATATACATAAACAGTTGGGAAGTTGTTACTTAAAGATTGCATCTTTCCATCAGACCTCCTCACAAGTGCTAGCCTGAAAAGAACCCTATTTGCTACAAGAAGCATCTGCACCGTTTTAAGACTGAACTATGCAGACTCCTATTGCCCCAGGGCAATAGTCTATTGAATTGTCTATTGAAAATAATCAAATTCCAGAATCAATACCTTAAATTTTCACAGAAAACCTCCAACAAATGTCTTATATGCATTATGACAGAGTAACAAAAGAAAAAGGGATGTTACAAAAATTGCAGCTTCACAATTTTATTTGAAACTATTTTCCCATCACATTTGGCAAGCAGAGAACTAATCCCATCACCTGCCTCCTCTTACACCAAGCACTGCAAACTACAACTCAACATAAAATACAATAACCTTCTATAATAACTATGTCCCTCTTAGAACAAAAATTAAAATAAAGTTATCTGTGCTGATTCCTACTTTCCATAAATTACTAAAAAGGTGAGAGATTCAGACATTTTGCTTCTGGATAATAAGCCTAATATCTGTATCATGTGCAAAAGTGCAACTGTGTTTTAGAACTGAGGCCCAAACAAGTAAAATTTTTTTAAAAGAAAATATACTTGAATCCACTTAATATGAAAACCAATGTTTCTCAGTATCTTTTAAAATTATGCTTTACATATTTAAGCCTGTTGTAAAACTCTAAGTTAGAAAAAAAATATGAAAAATAGAAAAACAGAAAACAACAAAGCTCATATATAAATCGGTTTACAACATAAGCACAACATTAAGCTTCAAATAATTACATTTCAGTAACACACAAAGAGGTGGGATTATTTACTTCAAATACTTGGTTATTTTTGCTGTTTTCTTCATGAATCTGATGTCTGTTTAGCTGCTTGCAGTGTGCGCATGCATACGTTTCGCTACATCGTAGACATAGGTTATGTCTGGTCGCTTCTCTGGATCCGGGTTGATGCACATATTAACTAACTGTCGCAGCTAGAAAAGGAAAATAACATGTAAGAAAGCCAAAGATCCTGTCAATTAGTATTTGTTCATTATCAAATTCAAATTAGTAAGAGTGGCAAAAACTAGCCAGACATAGCAATTCTGCATAAACATACTCAACCAACCCTCTCTCGCCTTGCAGTGCAGCTTTAAGCAAGCAGACAAGCAACACACATTCATGATTTTTACATTTTGTAGTCTTGTCCAGAAAAACTGGTAAGTGGATTCAAGTTTTAATCCTTTTAACACAACAACTTTAAACAACTTCGGAGTGCTATGCAGGCAAAGCACTGAGGGCTGAAACTTGCCCTGAGAAGGTAAACTGGGACAGTTTGCTCATTCTCTCCTGATACAGGAGTTAGCCAGCAATAAACAGCATTGCTTCCTGACAGGTTTCAACAAACAAAAGGCAGCAACTCTCCTTTTAACAGTCAACCTGCAGAACCTCCTCCTGCTAGAAGCTATGAATACACACACATTCAGGAAGCAACTGAACACATTAAACTCACTGAGGGCTATTTAATATAAAGACTCTGTCTTTGACCGTGGAATTCTCTGAACTTAAAACTGGAAGCTGGGGAAGCACCACATTATGCTGCCCTTTTTACTCCACTTGCACTATGTTGGAGACATGACACTGGAATAAATAAATAACCTTTGGTCTGTGTCCCAGAATCTATTCCTAGGATTAGATCAGTGATTTTTTTTCATTCTATAAAGAAGCACATAATTAACAAGTATGTCCACAGAAGACTTTAGTCATATTGATTTGTTTAATCTCAAATACAGAGCCCCATGTTTTCACAAACACCATAATTTACTGTGTCTTCTATAGTGCACATATTCAGCAGAAACTACCTCAAGGAGCTTCCACAGCAGTCAGGTACTTACTTCTATTGCCTCCTCAAATTGGCAGAAGAGTTGCAGGTTTCTTCTCCTCCCTTGATTTGCCTAAGAACCTATGACATCAGAACCTAAATATATTGCCTGGATAACCTTCTGATGGGGCATGTATTTTAAAGTGTGTTCATCTCCAAGCATTTTTTGCAACATGGAATACATCTGCTTTGTGATAACTTATTAAAACAACTACCATCCTTTGCAAAAGCAACTTAACCAGCTGTAAAACTCCTCCTTTATGCTTTTTGGAGCTTTGCCAAATCCTCCTGGATCTCCTTATAGCATTGGATAAAAACAACCAAAACACCTTAAGGTCCACCCCTCCTACAGGAATATGGCAAATTTGGTTCAGTCTCTCTCCCAGTACTATTAGGTAAGATTATTGAAAAAAAAAAAAATCAAATTATTGCAACACAGAGCAATCTCATCACCATGATTATTAAAAAGTAACATAGTTTGTACATCCAAATCTGCCATCAGAGTGTTTCCTTCCTGCTTTTTATAAAAAGACCAAGAGGCTTCTGAATTATGATTATACTCCTTTTCCTTTTCAGAAGATTAATGTAAATGCACAGGAATAGGAAGTCTAGCAGTTAAGAAAAAACACTGGATACCACCATTATTCAAAACAATACCACCATTATTCAAAACTTAGTCCATTAGCCTTTGCAGAAACATTGTAAATTGTATAAAATGTTTAGGGTTTTCATATTAAACACTAAAAAAATTATGTCATTAGACATCCCTCTTCTTCAGCAACAAGCGCTTAATATTTTAAAATGAGATAATTCATTCTGAATATATTGGTCAGACTGTGGATTGAAAAGAAACTAATTAAATCAAAATAATCTGTAACAGATTTTTCATTTAAATCTTAAATATGCTAAGTATATTTTGCCTAATGATGTTACAAAAGTTATCATATTCCTTTTGGCAGAAAAAATATATAATATCACTGACAAAAAATCTGTAATAACTCCCAATCATTTGAAGAATAGAATACTGGAAATCATGAACTACTATACGAAATCATTTCCAACACATAATACAAGTATGCAAAGCAAAACAATCTCATGTAGAAGAAGCAGGTGAGAGACACTGTAAGCAGCAGGCACAGTGTACTAGCAAGAATGAGCAGCTCTGCTATGCAACACCTCAGATAGCCTGCATGGAAAACAGGAAAGGCTGAAAAACAATAAAATAATGAAAACAACAAAACAAACCCAAAACTGAAATTAGACTCAAGTAAGTAAATTTCTGTAAAGAGACTGCAAGTGTAATTTATCTGGAGAACATTACGCCAAATTTTGTACATACACATTTATCTTTCTCTGTAAAGCCTTCCATCTGCTCAAAAGAACTGCACACAGTGAATAAATTCTTAGTAAAAGATCTTCAAGGATTGAAACCTATAAAACTACCATCAGAAGGGAAACAGAGTATTCTTTCCCCTCTTTTTACCAGCTGTATATCAATAACTTCACTGAAGGTAGAATCACAGGAATAGACCTTCAAGAAATTTACCTGTGAAAGCATGAGAAGCCTTGTTTACCTCCACAGTAGGCTACTTCATGCCTTTTCAATCTTGTGGGCAACTCTGACTTTGTTTTCTAAACTGAACTTTGTCATCTAAAAATCAATTCCAGACTCAAACTGTTTGTTGTTAAAGCGGAAGCCTTCCTTCAGAGTTACTTTGTTACTTGTTACAGTATATTGCAATTCAAAGCTTAAAAAAAATGGCCAAGAAGATTCATTGCTTAGAAAGACACTGTAGCAAAACGGCATCATTACTCAAAAGCCCATTTAAGGCTCAAGCTTGGTTATAGCACTATTCCTTCAACTCCTACAGGAATATCCATTTCAATGAACCTGAAATCCGTTGTTAACCCCTTCAGTATTAATAAAATTTCTAATGTAGCAGAAGAGCCTGACAGTACCAGGGGAAGCGGCACTGGGATTCTAAAGTCAGACCATCATTAGAGTTAGAGTAATTTTTTATTATCTGGCAGACTGACCAACAGGCAGAGCAGACTTATCACTGAGCTGGAGGGACCTCCTGTTGCATTCCCCAAGCTGCAAACTTCTTCAGCTGCCTGTTGTTCTTTGCCTCCTCTGTGCACTTAGCCCAATGACTGTCTTTAGCCTGGAGCTTAGCCTGACATTGGAGCAGTGAGATACACTTTATTTAATTTTAGCAGGTTTTTCAGCTATGAAATAAATAAGTATCACTCAAGTCAGGAGGAGGAGTGGAGAAGACAACTATAACAGGCTAGTACTTTGCATTGTTAGCCTACTGAAAAAGATAAATTTTCACATAGGAAGTTTTGGATGAAAAAAAACAAAACCAAAAAAAACAACTCTTCTTACTCTGATTAGGAGGCCTTCTTGAAGCACTTTCTTAGTAGTTGTTCTCAAGTCCTTCTGGCAACTAATACTGCCTACTGCCATTCCAGACCTGCTGGCTCATCTAGTCTTCAGTCTGAATAGGAGCTGGACTATGGACTTTAGAAGAAGTGCACCTCAATAAAAGGAGATTGGAAAACTTAATCTACTGTGAAAGTAAAAGAATAATAATAACGGCTGACAGAATTTTTAGTGTATTGACTGGGGGTGGCAAAGGAGGCACAACTTTGAATTCTTTAAAGCAGAACAGCTTTCAGTAATTGCTGAAATTCACCCTGAATACCAGATATTCTTTAGGAATATTCAAAATTTGAGCTATCCAAAGATGATGACCATTTTAACATCTTGGCTTCTGACACTACTGCTGAAGCAAGAGTTTGGGAAAATGCATCTTAGACTATTAGGATTATTAATCAAAGGTTTTTATAAAATATTATCCCTCTGTCCATCAGAGAAGGTGGATCTTTCTGTCACACTATTCTCTGATGACACACATGTACTGTATCATCACATCACAGGCACATGACACGTTGCTAAAAGGTTAGTCTTCAAGAGAGTTCAAGTTTTAGAAAAAATGCCATATCTTAGAACTCATTAAAATTCACTTACAGTTTCTCTAAAAAGCACTTGGTTTGTATTTTGCAACTAAAGAATTTACACTTCTATATCAGGATGAAGAGATCAACACTCTGAAATGTTTTCTTTCAGAAAATTCTTTGAAGTGGGATTTACTGTTTAATGAACCCTGATCTTCACTGCTCACTGAGTATGCTTCCAACCTGGTTAAAGGTTAGATATCTAAATTTCCAGTACAGGTGAAATATTTAGGACAGTACCCTAAAATGACAGATAGCAATTGTTTGTTTCTATTTTTTTTACTGTTCATGCCAGCACAGCATTTTTTCATACAAGCAAAAAAATCATATCTATTTTAGTATAAGAACTAATAAAACTTAACACAAGTCTTCATAGCAGAACATTAAAAAATGTTCCTATTAGTCTCCACAGTTGATTACTTCTTTTAAGTGAATGTTTTCATACCTATCTTCCTACCTATCATAGCTCTCATTATGTTTTAAAATAATTTATGTGTATTTTGCATACAACTGGTTTATCCAAGGTGCAGAACTGCCTGCCTGCTTTGAAATAAAGAAAACTGAACATGTGCTTTGCATCTGTTTTCAATGCTAGAAACTACACAGATTGAAGTAAAAGGTGGAATCTCTTTCCCCATCCAAACTCCAAGACCTTCTACCTGGGCCAGACTTTGATATTTGCCCCTTGGCTGGGAATCCGCATATCCAACTTCACACTTAGCTGCAGTGAAGCAGCCCTGCAGGCAGGCCAACTTCAACGAACCACTAGTGGTATCATCATTAAAATCCTGCTGAAGGTCACCATGGAAGCTGCCTGCTGAGGCTTCGCTGCTGCACTCGGCATCTCCTAATCAGCTACCATGTGAAATGCAAATTCAGACAGTCTGAAAATTAGTCAAGAAGAATAGAGGATGAGGATGCAGATATGTGAAATATTCATGCGCTTCATGGAAAAAGGAAGACAGCATGAATGACACAACAAAGAACGGCCCCTGACATTCTTGCTATCATTTTGCATTATTGTTCACACCCAACTGTATTTCCAGACCTCAGGTTCTGAAGTTGGTTATGTGAACTGCCATATTTATAGCCTACAATAAATAGTAATTAAAAAATGGCCCACATAAAATGACTAATTGGAAAACCCACAAAGAGGCATAGTGCATAAATTACCCAATAGATCATTATTTCATCCTTTGTAAAATCACTGAATTATCTTTTTAAGTCCATTTTCTTTCATAAAAGGGGAAATACTGTCATTATAAATACAAAACAAAACAAAACACTGGGCAGTAATCTTTTATTAATAGTCCAATCACTGCCTCAATGTAAAAAACTTATAAGGTTCACAATTACAACCCCTACTCTAAGTGAGACTGCACAACACTATGTTTATTAGAAGTATTTCAGTGCTTGTGTTTATTTGCATTTTCAAAGTAATCTTTAATTCATGTAGGCTGAATTAAATAGAATTGCTTACTAATAAGTGTTATTTGGTTTACAGCTTCTATCAGTTTGCCCTGTTCTTTTCAAAGTGAGAAAGTATTTCAAAACTGGCATCTCAGTACATTAACAAACAAGCATTTTTATTTTTTCATTCTGTACTCACACTAAGAAAAATATTCAATTTATTTTGTTTCTTTTCATTGTAGAGCTTAAAAAAAAAGCAAGTACCTCCCCTTAAATGCATTAATGACAGTAAAGAACTGTTACCTATCAGCTTAAAACAAAAACTGCTGCAATATGTGTGAGTATATTATATTAGGTCTGGCTGTATTTCTCTGAAATTTACTATCAATGGTGTCAAGAACCACTCTTTCTTGCAAAAGAACTGCCATTCAATTGTATCAAATGGCACACTGCAGTTTTATAATGCAGACAAATGGGAACTAAGCAATTCATATTTATTAGTGAGTTACATTATACCTATTTTAATGCAAGCCCCTAGAGAAACAAGGCTAGTGCACTAATTTACCATGCAACATAAACATGTATAGTTGTGCTTTCAGGAAAGCATGCTGTAGATGTAAGACTCAGTCCCATTCTGGCATATAGAACATATCATTGTGCATTCTGGGAAGGCATTTTGTCATAGTTGCAAGGAAGCTCAATGAAATTAAGCAGCTGACGATACGAGGTTTTCTATCATTAACCCCCCAATATTTCAAATCATATAAGAGGCTTGTTTTGACAGGAACACTTGAGCAAGTTCAACAAGCAAACACTTATGGGCATAATCTGCAAATAACCTAATATCACACAAGGTCACTTATTTCCCTGGAAGTGTGCCAGCTTACATAAACTGAGGATCTAGCCCATGAATAGAAGAATTACTTACTTCCTCTGAATAGTGATCTGAAGGTAGAGGTGGGTAGTCACACTGTTCTATCTTCTTGCACAGGGAGTACAAGTTCATTTTATCACCATAAAAGGGACTCTGCAGTGCAGCCATCTGTTTAAAGAAAAGGTATAGGTTTCTTTTGTGTTTTAAGTAAACCTGCTTTGTCATAAAATCCCTAATACTAACAAATCAAGTAATTTTTAATTACTTTCTATTCCCTGCTTACAAGTGTCACAGTGCTAAAAACAGAAGTTCCAAAACTATTCTTGTAACCAGTGTGTGCTTATTCTATGTTGTACAGTCATACCTGTCACAATCCTTATTTAGTAATATTTGAATTGTATACCACAACAGTTTTATTAATAGAGTATGAGAAAAACTGCAGTTTCCAATACTGCTGTGAGCATGGAGGGTCCTTGCACCATGAGGGACACAAAAAAAACCTCCAAAACCCAAAAACTCATTTTCCTCTGAATACCTTTTAAAACAAAACAATTTCTTCTAAAACACTATCTGATCTAAAGCAATAAAGTGTGGTGAAAAAGCTGGATAGGAGATTTTGTAACCTTCCATAGCTATTACTAGATTCAATAAAGTGGTTTCTCTAGAGAAAGAAAACTGAAGGAAGGTAACATCTACACTTCCAAAAAGAAAACCCAAGGCCAAAACTTCATAATTCAGTATGTCATTTGAAAAGCCTTTAAAAAAAAAAGGAAAGAATACCCCAAAGCCTTATCCAAAGTGCAGAACTGGCACCCATGCCTATATTTTACAACTGGAATACAAAAATAAGAATATTTGTTGGAGAGCACTTAAAAAAATAATCAGCTTAGGACCAGCATTACTAAACGTACGCTTTATTTGCAGACAAAGTTACAAGGTGGAAACAAATGCCATGGTTAGCAGGATTACAAATTTAAAAACTCATTTAAAATCTCTCCATTCTGTTCAAAGCCTTCTAAGTCTTTGAACCACAGCAGCAAGAATGCTGCTTTGAGTGTGGTGCTGCCCCAAAGTCAGTCACCCTTTTCTACATGTGCTAATAAGTTTGATTTTGGAAGGACAATGTGTACATTCCCCAGACAGGCAGAGTGTGTGTGAAACACGCTAGTCCATGCTGTGCTACTCAGTGAGCTTCAGCAGGGACAGGACAAGCTGAAAATGGCTCTCATCTGTCTTGTGGTCTTCCAGATAGCAGCTTAACTCTTTCATGACTAAGCACCAAGACCACTGTGAGAAAACAGATGAAGAGAATTACCAAAATTCTCTTACATTCACTTAATAGCTGATAAAACTGCTCTCAAACAGTTCACTACTTTTTTCAAATTACCTTAAAGAATAAACAGTTTTAAAGCTCCCAAAATGAATACCATACTGCAGTTCTATCCTATGCTCCTCCCAAAAATTCTGTATTACCAAAATAATGTTAGGTTTTGGATTTACATGCCATTGTCTCTTACCTTAAAAAGAATGTTAAAAATGCAAGCTAAAGACCAGAAAAGGAAAAAAAAAAAAAAGAAAAATCAACTGCAGGGTCTGTACACATGCAGAAACTCTAAATAAATGCACAGATACTCATTTCCGTACTCTAGGTGTTCATTAAAAAACACTTTTGTTTGAATGCTGCGGAGTGTTAAAAAAATTCTGAATGTCCCCTAAGGAGTTAAAACAGGAATACTATATTTTCATGCATCTCCTGCTTTGACAGATGAAAAATGTCAACTGTCCTGTTTTTATTTTCAAGCTTTTGCACTATTCATCTGGTTCATTAGTGCATCTCGCTGCTGCCCCTGACAGCTGCTCGCCCTCTCCTCCCAGCAGCTGAATTTTTCAGGCTAATTTGATCCTCCACACTGAGACGATCGCTAGAATGATTGACTTGCTCCCTGACCTCCAGGGTCTGACTTTCCTGATTAGTATTCTGGGGGTGTCTAAGGGACGAAAGCCCACTGTCTGTCTTCAGGGCTGGTGGCAGCTCACTCGCTCTCTTTTTTTTCCCCCCCTTTTTTTTTTTTTGAACTGTAAGCCACCAACCTACAACCCTGTAAGGATGCAATTGCTACACTGAACAATAAAAGGAAATGTGTAAAACCTACTTTTCCATGTAAAGGTCCATGTAGCAAAAGCACAGCATCTTGATTTTAATTAGCAAAGTCTACTTTGTTGCATATCAATTAAAACTCCAGTGGTAGTGTTTTTGAGGTTTCAGAAATACCTGGGGCTCTAAAAAAAATCAGACTTTAAAATATACTTTTAAAAATCCTACTGGTCACCACAGTTAGTACTAAATAATAGACTGTCCTATAAGCTAGAAATAAAAATTTTAGAAAACAACATAAATTATAGCTAATTAGTTCAAACAAATTAAAATGTAACTGAGGAGTTTAGCTGCAATTAAGCATTTACTGAGAAGTGATAAACACACCACAGCTTTTCTCCAATTAAGCTGGAAAGAATCCAGAGCACACACCGACATGAAACTATCACAATAAAACATGCTAAAATGCAGGCAATAGGCATATCACAAAAAGATACCCAGCACAAAACTACATGGTTAATAAATGCCTTACATTTGCCCATGCATGTATTGAAGAACCTTAAGTAACTCTTTCAAACAATTAAAAAGCGAAAAATGTTAAAAGTTCACCTAAAATTCAAAATTACATCTTAATGATAAAACAAAAAAACCTGAAAACCTCAAAACACCCCACAAACATCTGGTATGACACAGAATTTGCTAAATGGTAAAAATGTATCTCTAAAAAAATTAAAAGCTATAGTTGAAGTCACTACCATATACTGTAGCTATGTAAGTTATATCAACAATGATTAAACTAATAATTACTTTATTCTTACTATAAGGAAAAAAATGAAATAACACTGTACCAACTTAAATACTGTGATGGTACAACTTCTTAAACAAATATAATGGTATTTAGAGATGCTCAGTAAACCAATGGAATTAAGGCATTATTTACCAGATCACAGAAAAACTTAATATTCACATAGGTGTTTAATATACTGTACCAGCCTTAAAGCAGCAAGGTCAAAATAAGAAAACCTTCTTTAGAGAAGTGCTACTGATTTCTATCCAAAAATTTCAGAAGCAAAATTAACCTTAAAACATGTTTATTTTATACAATAAATAGTTATTCAAAGTTTTTATTTGTTTCCTGATTTTAAAAAATCTTCATGAAAACTAAAAGGAGTAGTAACTGAAAAAATCCTCATCTACCTTTACGCAATCTTTAGGCTCCTGCTTGCACAGATTTGTGACGTGGAGCACTGAAAGTCATGGCAGTTGCCATGGTCAGTACTAAGGTATCCCAATGTGGGATTAAGTTTCTGTTGAGGATTTAAACTTGTATATACTTTCTATCTGATATCTGACTTCATTCCTCTGAATTGTCTTAAAGATTTAGAAGCAACAACTATACATAGATCTGTCAACTCCGTGGAATTGCAATATAGCTATTTGCCCTTTTAATATTTAAAGCAACATGTTAGTGATAGAAAGGAAACTAATATTACTGGAGAAAATTCACCCCATAGTAACACAGAACTTAACAGGCTGACAACGTTTTCTACAAAATGCTCAAGGAACATGAGGCACCGATCCTGTTCAATATCTGTGCAACGAGTTCTGCTGACTCACTGAGACAGGTGGCCCACAGGTAAATAAAAAGTGAGTTGGGTATATTAGCTTTCATCTGAAACATGACTAGTAAGGCTTCACTGCCATTGCTGATGGAAAAAAAAATAAATTCCAGCATCTTCAACACCAGCGTTTAGTCTTTTTATTAACAAATGGAAGGTGAAGAACTCCAAAGAGATGGTTGCCTTAGAAGCCTGTCTGTCTTCACACCTTCATTCACCTCAAATTCAATTTGCCCTGTATCATTATTTTCTCAGAATATAATAACCTACAAATCTGAACTGTATTAATATAGAAATTAACCAATAATTATATTTAAACCAATTGGAGAAGACAGCACAGAAAAATTACAAATGTCTGTGCAGCAGAAGTCATCTGGGAAGTTAATGCAAGCTAGTAGTAGTACACAGTAACCCTTTTTGTTTGTTTCACTTAGGTTTTAAACAGCTTCAAAGAATTTAAACTTGTATTACAATAACTATATTGGAGTTTTTGAAAGCCTTTGTTACATACTCCAGTCAGTCCTGCTAATTCTCAGTGCTTTTATTACCAGAATCAAAAGAGGCCATTATAACACCTAGAACAATTTAATATGTGCTTGCCATTATTCATTTATTAGTCTTTCAGTTATGTCTTAAATTCAACTGATCACTGCAAAATCCTGCTGCCTTACTGGCAGCAAGACCAGTACAAGGCAAGTCTTGAGTAAAACACAAATAAAAGCATTTCATACACTGAATTTACCTTAGAGTTCTCATTGCTAATTTTAAAGACAGATACAATACCTGAAAAGTGGCTTTTGCAACCGCTACACATTTTTCTAAACAACAAAAATATAGAAATGGATCCTAAAACAGTACTTAATACATTTAGGGTGGGGAGGGAGGCAGGGGATAGGAAGCACAACAGTGCTACTAAGTTTAGTGTATATATCAGTATTACCTCATACAGCAGACAGCCTAGAGACCAGATGTCAGATTTGAAGTTGTAACCATTTTCGTGTATCCTCTCTGGAGACATATAATAAGGTGTACCAACTGCAATAAATACACAAGTATTTTTGAATGAAAATTTCTGTTGTTACATAGCAGAAGTACAGTTTTCCTGGCTGAAAAACCTTTTTTTTCCATCTTCTGTATTTCTCTTTTTGTTACACATGATTTTAATTCATACTTATTACTCCAGTTTGATAGAAATACACATTAATTAGATACCTATTTAATCAAATACAGCTTCATTTCCACTACTGATATCTAATTACCAGAATTATTCAGTAATAAAATACTTCCAATTTTTGATTCTAAGTAAACTCCACAGTAATTACCTTCTTCTGAAGAGAACCAAGGGAACATACTACACACACACATCCTTACTTCTTTCCAAATTATCACTGTGGTTGGAAACAACAGCACTTAGAAATGGTTTGAACCGCTGTTCTTCCTTTTGAGAACACACACATCTGGAAAAGCTGCTTTTGCAACTAATAAACACAATTTAGTTTCAATATCAAAACTAAAAAGCCGTTATAAAAAACCAGTATCTCAGTGATGGGTTCATATGTGACAGATCAACAAAAAAAGTTATTAAAAATAACAGTAGTGGCAATTTTGGTGCATTATCTCTGTCTGTAACTCCCCCAAAATGACTGTCTAACAGCAAGAGAGTAATAGATGCATGTAGTTTTTTGCTTCAATTTTGTGTGGAATATTTTCTTAAGCACTGAATCCTAATCATGAAAATCAACTGAATTCTGTTAATTCAATACATGTTGACCCTATTTCAAAACTAAACTTGCAACACTGCTGGAGATTAAAATCACTGCAAACCATGAAAATCAGAGTATCAACCTCACACAATTTTAGTTAAAAAAGATCTTGTATCACTTCTGCACTTCTGAATTAGCCTCATCTATTCAGAACACTGTAAACAGAGACATAGTGAATACTACGTCAGGGGGACGGAGTTAGGCTTTTCTCGGTGATGACCAGTGATAGGACAAGGGGTAATGGGTGTAAATTGGAGCATAGGAGGTTCAAGGTGAATATCCGAAAAAATTTTTTTACTGTGAGAGTGACAGAGCACTGGAACAGGCTGCCCAGGGAGGTTGTGGAGTCTCCCTCACTGGAGACATTCAAAACCCACCTGGATGAGTTCCTGTGTGATGTACTCTAGGTGACCCTGCTCTGGCAGGGGGGGTTGGACTAGATGATCTCTCGAGGTCCCTTCCAGCCCCTAAGATTCTATGATTCTATGATTCTATGAATACATAATTAATTCCAAATCTGAGTAATCAGGTTAATGGCTGGGAGGGAGGAAAATGCCCAGCTCAAATTAGGAAACCCAGTACCACCTTATCCTAGGTCAGGCTACTGCTGCTGGTAACCCAGAATTTCACTTTATCTCCTTCTTAGCAAACAATATAAAAAAATGTTCCAAACCAATATAAACAGAAAACGTATTTCTCTAACAGATATGCAAGGACAGAGGCTTCATGCTGTATCCTACAGTGGATCTAGCCACCTAAATATTTCAGGGAAGACTTTCAGCCCTGGGAAAGCAGAGGGTGATACAGCCCCTCTCCCCAGAGGCTCCCTTAGTGCTGGCCTGAACAATCACTTCAAATCTGAACTAAGACTGCAAAAGATCAAGAGCTTAAAAGGGGAAAGGCAACTCAAAAAGAAAAAGAGCCTTCTATGAAGAAATAGCTAGGTGGATAGATGATGGCAGGGCAGTAGATGTGGTTTATCTTGATTTTAGTAAAGCATTTGACACTGTCTCCCACAGCATCCTCATAAACCGAGGAAGCGTGCTCTTGATAATCAGGTAGTGAGGTGGACCATGAACTGGTGAAAGGAAGAAGTCAAGAGAGTTGTGATCAATGGGACAGAATCTAGTTGGAGGTCGATGACTAGTGGAGTCCCTCAGGGGTCAGTACTGGGACCAGTACTATTCAATACTTTCATCAACAACACCTCACAGAGTGTGCCCTCAGCAAGTTTGCTGATGACACTAAACTGGGAGGAGTGGCTGACACACCAGAAGGCTGTGCTGCCATTCACAAAGACATAGACAGGCTGAAGAGTTGGGCAGGGAGAAACTTGATGAAATTCAACAAGGGGAAGTGCAGAGTCTTGCATCTGGGGAAGAACAACCCCATGTACCAGCACAGGTTGGGGGCTGACCTGCTGGAGAGGAGGGGAGGAGGAAGGGACCTGGGGGTCCTGGTGGACAGGAGGATGACCATGAGCCAGCAATGTGCCCTTGTAGCCAAGAAGGCTAATGGCATCCTGGGGTGTATTAGAAAGGGGGTGGTTAGTAGGTCAAAGGAGGTTCGTCTCCCTCTATTCTGCCTTGGTGAGGCCACATCTGGAATACTGCGTCCAGTTCTGGGCCTCTCAGTTCAAGAAGGACAGGGAACTGCTTGAAAGAGTCCAGCACAGAGCCACAAAGATGATGAAGGGAGTGGAACATCTCCCTTATGAGGAAAGGGTGAGGGAGCTGGGTCTTTTTAGCTTGGAGGAGACTGAGGGGCGACCTCATCAATGTTTACGAATACATTAAGGGCGAGTGTCGGGAGGACAGAGACAGGCTTTTTTCAGTGATGTCCTGTGATAGGACAAGGGGCAATGGGTGCAAACTGGAACATAGAAGGTTCCAGGTAAACATCAGAAAAAACTTCTTTACTGTGAGAGTGACAGAGCCCTGGAACAGGCTGCTCAGAGAGGTTGTGGAGTCTCCTTTGCTGGAGACATTAAAAATCCACATGGATGCGCTCCTGTGTGATGTGCTCTAGGTGATCCTGCTCTGGCAGGGTTGGACTAGATGATCTTTCGAGGTCCCTTCCAATGTGAAAACCATTTACTCTCATGGGATGTTCATATTCACTCAAAACAGAGGAACGGTGAAGAGGGATGGTCTTTTCCTTGTTAATGAATAGGTAGATGGGTGGACTGCAATACCAAAATAGCTACCAGAATGTCCAGAAGCAACTCAGTTATTATAATGTATCAACAGCAATATTTTAATGAGCGTTTGATGACAGCTACCTTAAAAATATGAAAGCTGTGCCATGCCAAATGTTATAGCTTTCAATGTTATCATCCTTACTGGTGTACTTCCCCTGTAAATTTATTATTTTTTTTTAAATTTGGGGACGTATGAGCTTGGACATCCCTGAAAACTTTCAGCTGTATTTTGCATCCATTACGTACTACACCACTTCAGTATATTCTGATGCTTTGTTGGCAGAATTCATGTAACAACAAAAAATAAGTTCAATAGCAATCATATTCTTAGCTGGTTACAGCAGCACTGCCTCTGCTGCTCTGAGACATCACACAAGTAGCTGGCAGTGACTAATGTGCCAGAAAGAGGCTTCACAGAATCCACAGGGGGCAGCTGAAAACACAGAGGTTTGAAGGTTCATAGTTTACCAAAAGCAAAGGTAATTTTAACCAGTAGCTGTGGGAAGCTTGCTGATATGTTGGGGGTCTGATATGACTGTGAAAGATTGATGATAGTAAAAAGGAAGAACACATGCTATCATTTTACAGCGTTTAGCCTAGTGTAACACCTTAACTGCAATACAACCTGAAGCTCCTGATGACCAACAAGTGAAAGGAATTGAAATTACAGTTATGTTATGTTATTGAATCACAAAAACAACCTGAAGACCTAGACATTATTACCACTTATAAACTGTTTTTAATAGAACATAACACAAAAGATTCATTATTCTGACATTCAAGAACTACCAGACATTGCAACACTTCCTTAAAACAGTGAGCAGTGTCTGTGTGCAGCACTGTACTGCTGGCAAGCTGCTACCAGACGAGACTACATGTTATGTTTCCTTCCTGTATCATTATTTTTTCTGTTAAGTGAAATACAGCATCAAAATACTATAAAGACATGCAATCTTCCTTACTCATCTGAAGACACAGAATTGGGATAAAACAAGACAAAGACATTAAGGTACCTATGTTTTTAACAACAAAATCTGTAACTTTAGCATTCTGTCTACTGCATTTGCACATCTCAGATAACCTGCATGTCTGAACAGGATCTTCCTGAAAATAGCTTGGGTCAAATAAACTGCTTCCTCAGAATCTACTGCTGCTTTGCATCTCCGTCCCTTCAAAGAGGCTGTGTATCCAGAAATCATTGTTTCTTTATGCAAGCTTTCTGCTATCGGGAAAGGCAAGGGATATAATGGAGAAGGTAGTTATTATTATTAGGGGGCAGGAAGTTGGATTTGAAGTATCAGCAGCAAAGAAACTACCTGAAGAAAGAACTTATGATATAAACAGTCCATCCTATTACCTGCAGAAACACATAACTCACACTGCAGCTGAGTTAAAGGGGAGAGTGTGTTCACTTGGAATTACTGACATAGAAGGTATTGGAATGCTAACTACCCAAGTTCAGGAAGGGGGCTAAAATCACTTTAGTAACTCTTCTGATTTTCAAAGAATTCCAAAAGAAGATTTCAGTTTGAAGGAAAAAAAGGCCAAATTTAAGTAATCAAAAGATACAGTTTATGAATTATTTAGTGTCCATGAGATCACAGGAATTTTATAATAAAGTTCAACACAACATACACGTGCTTAACAAGATGAATGTTTTTTGGTAAAGACAGGCAAACTAAGTTACAAATAAGCTGCAGTTATGGAACAGTGAGGGTAAAAAAAACAGACATGAGAAATTCTCCATAATTATAATTAATGTTTATATTTATTTATTTTAAGACAGGTATAGAGGATTTCTAAGTCATAGGCTTGTCTTCAAACACGGATACAGGAACTAAAATACAGCACTTATCCTAAGTAATTCTGCAACCTCGCCTATATTATGCAAATAGTCTAACTGCAGAAATCAATCTATAAATATCTTGGGCTATTTTATAATGTAGCACTGCAACAGCACAATAATTTCTCTTCAGCTTTGAAAACACTGTAATGGATCGTAGGTTTTTGTAAATAAGAGCTGTTTTCATACAGCACTGATGAATCAGCTGCAGATTTCCCTGACAATCTTCCAGTACACTGATAGTGAAGGTTCTCTGAATGCTTTGGTATTGAAAGTGGAGCTCATTCTGTTCACATAAAAACAGAGCTGCAGACCACCACCTCAACAGTGGCTTTGAAACACCCTGCTGGGTTTGAGATGCATGTGTAAGAGGAAAGGACAGTATTTGTACATTCTACTGGCTGTATAGAAAGAGTTAAGAACATGAACAAACCCTGTCCAGTGCAGTATTTTCACTTGTTTCAAATGGACCATCAGCAAGTATTTTAACAAAATCAGTATTATTCATAATTAGCAGTTAGAAGCTGTAGCTAATGAAAATTTTAGTACATTTCTTTATCTCTGAAAGCCTGAATCTAGTTTGCTACTGAAATTTTTATAATGCCTGCAAACAAGTATAAATTGCTATACATAATGTTTGTAATTCACTGGGTTTTATGCACCAAAGGTTTATGGAATCATGATAAATGAGAGTGTCACTGTCATCCCTGTAGCCTAAGTTAACAGCTAAACAAAACCTTCCTATGCTGAATTCTAATATTAGGTCATAAACGAACAAGAAATAGAAGATGTATCTACCAAGACACAGCACCCAGCATTAGAAAGAAAGCTTCCACCCCACTACCCTGCACTCTCTGGATGACCTTTGGATTTGTAAGAGACCAGCTTTAAAGGGCTTGAGGGTTTTATATTGGTTTCAACTCCTGCTCAGTCTTCAGTCCCTTGGCAGCCACCCCCTGCCAAAATAATCCAGGGCTGAAGCAGTTTGTTCCTCTAACTTCCTCACTTCTGCCTCAGAACACAAGTCTAGCTTTCCGACACTCACAACTTGTGCCTTCTTCATGCACTCCTACCCACAGATTAGAATTTACAGCTTCCTGCAAATACAGTTCAGGAGCAGCTCCCTCTTCACACTGCTCATTTACATCCTTCTTCCACTCACAGGCAGTAGCACAACCCAGCTATGACTAGTGAGATCTCCACAGTGCCGCCAGAGACAGCCACAAGGCTCTGATGGCATCATGAACAGCAGAACTTTATATAACAAACCTTGCCATGAACTAATATCAGATTTTTAGGGTTATCTCTGAACTTGGATGTAAAACCCAAGCACATTTCCAGTCTGGTCTCACTGCCCCTCCTCTGTTTCCTTCTCTCTCTCTTTTTATTCATGCAAGATTGCACATCCACATCTGACTTTCACCTCAGTCGTATTAGGATTTCAGCAGTTACGCGTGGTTTTGACTATACCTGCATGACTACACACCAAAGACGACAAAAACATGAAGGCACAAGAGAGTGACCAAACGTCTGCTGGAAGTCAGGGAGAAGAGGATCATATAAAAAAATTATTTTCTAAAACAGGTTTTTTTTGGCTGTTAACACAACTATCACCCACACCTCAGATGTGGTACAAATATGCTGAACATCCATCCTCTCTCTTTTTCCACATTGTACTGATAACTCGGACTATCTGAATAAAACTAAATTAAGAGGTTATAATAAAATGTGGCATATTTTACTCTAAGAAGCCTAGTATTTCATAGTTTAATTAGAAAGAGCAGCATCTGAGCAAACACAATTCTTTGTGTGTCCTCCCATGGCCATAACGTAGGGAGTGTAAGTATTGCTGAACTCTTGATTTTCTTAGATATCATCTTTTTTATCATGCACTCCTGTCGAACATATAAAAAAAGCCAAGTGCCTAAGTACAGAATTGTCACTATAATTTTTTAAAAATTTCCACTGAGCAGCACTTGAATTGATTTTACCTATCTGTATTTCAGTATCAGCAAAGTGCTCTGCCTACCTCAATAGCTTTTTACAAGGAATAGGAGACAATTCCGGATGCTGCTACCAATGGCCTTGGCTCTTGAGGGGTCTAAAAGTTGATTTCACACCCTTTCCAATCAGTCAATAGGCCTGAATTCATCAACCAGTAAGCACAGCCACTTAAGCAGAAGAAAAGAATTTTCTTTAAAGCAAGTCTATTTACAAGACTCTGATCTCTCTTTTACTTACTTAGTTAATATTGAGAAACTCCACCTTAATCCAAGGAGGGTTCTCTGTTAGTCCTTTCCAAGCATATAACCAATGTGCTGTCCTACCCACGTAAGATCACATAGTTACTAGATTCTTTCCAACACTGATTGAAGTTAAAATGAATTTTAAAAATGCATCCACATTACTGATCATCTTATTTTCCCAGCATTTCTAGAAAACACTACTGTCACAAAGACTTATTTTGAGTCAGGAATGCATATTAAATTATTCTAACAAAGCTAGGGGGTACGGGAGAAAAAAAAAAACCAACACAAACAACAAGCTGTATTGCTGAAAATGACACCTCAGTGTTACAGCTATTCTGTAGTCATCCACTGTGCTTTTTTTTTTTATATTGTTTAAGAAAACCTTTAGCTGAACCCAGCCCTTCTCTTCCTTTTTATGAGTGGGCACAACATTTCCACCATGTAAAAAAATTCCACCTCCCCAAAACTACCTCAGAGAGAACTTACCTAAAGAATGTGCAGCTGTGGTTTTAGAGCTGAAAAATCGACCAAGTCCAAGGTCTCCAAGCTTTACTACCCCTGTAGCTGTAATGAACACATTAGCCGGCTTTATATCTGGAAAAAATAAACAAATAAAATTTTAAAAAGTTTCAAGTCACAATGAGGTTGCAAGAAAAGCTACTGCTCTATTAGTATCAAACCAAGAGGGACTTTTGTTTACAACTAATATTAACAAAATATTTCAGAAAGAGTGAACGTGGGATTCAGAATTTCAAATTAACTCTTGTAATAGTACAAACATCACTTAAGTAAAAAATTAGGCCATTGAAAGTATGTTAAAAACCCAAGGAAACAAACAACAACCACCAAAACAAAAACCTCCCACACCTAGAGCAGCATATACAGGGAGATCATTACTACTTTATGTAAGCAATATAAAGGGACTTCCATTAGAACCAGAAAACCTCTCACTACATCTTCAGTAACAGACAAATAAACAACTGTAAACCTGTTTTCCATCACTTTTGCTAATCAGATTATCCACAGCACCATAATATTTATTTGAAATATGTACCTATTCTCTTTAATAGCAGACATTAAAAAAACCAGCAAGTTTTACTCAGGAGAATGGTTATTTGAACTTGTCAATGGAATTGGGCTCATGAAGTAGAAACAAAGAAAAATAATGATGTATACCCCAGACAGTTATTTTTCACAAGTACTATTCAGTTTAGGTTTTAATCCAATCCTTTAGAGACAACAGCAAAGATTTTTATTTTATGATTTTTAAGAAGGTCCCCATCCTCTTAGTCTTTTAAGTGACTTGACCTGGTATTTGTTCAGCAAGCATGCCCAGCTCTTACTCAGCTCAAGAGCAATGCACTGTGGATTAAACTTAGAGACAATCCCATAAATTTGATAAGGGGGGATTATAATTTGCATAAAATATGGGTACAGAAAAAGGAACAGTTCATAACCCTTTAAACAGCAGCATTTTCGCGTTTCCAACAAAAAAAGTTACAAAACCTTGGAAGCTTTAGGGAGGAACTCAGCAGCAATTTTGTTATGCTTCTATCTGACCTAGTTTTCAGCAGTTTGGATCACCAATCCAACAGAGACAGCAGCTCAACTTAACAAGAGCTTTAATTGCCATTGGTTTTGGTATGTAACCATGGAATTGTTAGGTTTGGCACAGGTTTGCGAAAAGCTTTAAAGGTTTGAGGAATTCAAACACTCCTGTTTCGAGCTCAAATATACTGAAACAAACTAGTTTAATCACAGAGGCATTAAAGGAAGATACCTACGGAAAGAACCTGTAATTTTATGTCCTCTTTGTATAACCTGCACTTATAGATATCTGAACAAATGAGTAAAGAGAGGGGAAAAGAAGGAGAATCACAAGGGAAAGCCATTTGCTGGGGCATCTAAGTGTATCTGCTGAAGGGTGCAACATCTCTACCTGCAAATGACAAGCAGAGATAAAGGGACTTTTGCTTTCAGGCAACTATTTGCATCCTAGCAGAAGGAAGTCACCAACCTACAACATGTATTTTCCCCTGAACCCTGAGAGACAGCCCATATACAACTTGCAACTCATAGCCAGAGGGACTTCCAAGGCAAAAAAACCTGTACACCTGAGAAGCAGCTATACTACCATCTGTTTTCTTTGACTCAGAGTTACAAAGTAAAAGGAAGACAACATACAGAGGAGACAGCAGAGGTTTAAAATGGGTAAAAAAGATTTAGTACCTGACAGGGACAGCTGGCAACTACAAGGGCTGTTAGGACACAGTACTTGACACAGAGATTGGAAATAGCAGAAAGGAGCAGAGAATGGGAGAAAATGCTCACAGCTGCACAGAAACTAGTACATAAGGGAGAGGGAGAAGGCCCTACACATCACCAGAAGACACAGCAGGAGACACACTTGTAAGGAAAAGAGGGGCAAGAAGTGAAAAGAATGGATGGATAGCTGTACAAGAATGCAGGTAACAATACTTTGAAAATACAATGGGCAAATATAGAAGAATAACTACTGGACAGAAAGTTAGAGTTAGCAAAATTAATTGAGCAAAGAGGTAGCAGTGGCAAGATCTCCATCACTTACTGAACTATCACTTACTTTGAAAACTTGGTATCACAAGCCATTACTGCAAACCAATGCCGACCACAACAAACATATAACCATGAACTTGTGTTACGTTTTTCCATTATTTATAAAACACTACAGAAACATACATTGTGTCAGTTGTGAAAATTTATTCCAGCATGACATGATTTGGTGTCATTTACATTGATACAGCTTAATCCTCACATAGAAACGGTTTAGTAAAGACAAACCATCTTTGACCCTGTATTACCTCTATGCATAACACGACGAGAATGCATATGTTCCAAGGCACTGCAAAGCTGAACAAAGTACTTCCAAACTGTTCTTTCAGGAATCAACCTCTTCTGTTTCTTAAAATGCTTAAAAAAAAAGGGGGGACACTGAATATTAAAATTTAAAACCTGCATTAAATGACTGAAGAAAGAAAAGATAGAAATTATTTATTTAAAAACCAAATACAAAAGACTTACAAACTAAAAGGTTTAATGAAATTTCTTGGTACAGAAAGCTTTTCCCTTAAATATTAATAAATGTATAATCAATGTATGTATTTAAGGCAGTCAACATAGAACCACAGAAGTCATTAATGAAATAAAATGCTATCACAAAGACAGATTTACATGGTATTCTACAATCCTCACTCCAGGATTAATGTGATCAGAGGAGTCTACCATAGAGTAAGTGGCCACACAACAAATAAAGGTCAGATACAAAAATCTGTGCCACAGAACTTGCACTGTAATTCCTTACATCGACATTGATTTGCATATCCTCATTTTCTAAATAGAAAAAAATAATAGTAGTGATGCACAATCAAAGATTATGTAAGAAGAGTCCTTCACACTAGGCTTAAAAACTTTTGCAATACATAAAATGGAACTAAAGGAACTGTTACCTCTGAAAATTTCATATTAATCTAACTCCTGTTCAAGTATTTTCCATCCTGTATTTGCCAATCACTGTTAACAGTTCAATGGCCTGTTAAAGCTTACGTGAAATATAATTATGCTCTGCTACACACATCTCCTTCCAATATTATATTCAGGGACTGGAACAGTCCTAAAAAAACACATCCTGAAAACCTGGAGTTCAGCCAACACTGAAACATACAAGTTTGACCATTACAAATTTTTCAGCTAAAGGTAAAATGACTGAAAAATTGTTGCTCTTCTAGCCCCTCTCTTTTTAAAAAATTCATCTTTTGATAGATTTTAAAGTTAAATCCATAATAAAAAACCATGAACAACATTAATACTAGCAAAATTTTAGGTGGAAAATGAAGTACTTGGTGTATTTTAGCAGCATGTGTACACAAACACTTCAGACTCACGCACACTAAGGAAGTTCCTATAACTAACATTTATAAATCTGGCAAATAAAAATATTTTCATATACTATGTTAAAATGTGCCACTGAAGTTGACAGATGCATTCAAACATTACAGTCATGCAGGAGTACGAGGAAGATGCTTTTAAACTTGCTGTACCAAAATGCATCAGTCACACAAAGGATCACAACATTTCATCAAAATATTTTTAGTTATAGGGATTATCTCAAAATGCATTTTCATTTAAATGAGGAAAAGCATATAAATTACTTCTTTAAATATAATTTTCTCTCAGTCTTGGACTGAATCCAAACACACCCTGTGTATCTGTTCTCCTCATAGCTGGATTTGCATATCAGAGGATTGTTTGATGTCAACAGGAAGATGGAGACCAGGTTTCTTTTTATTTAAAAACAAATACACAATACATGTAAGTATACACACATGAAAGCATAGTTCCCTCATTTAAAATGCATTCTGAAATTATCATCATTATAACTAGGTACTTTATTTAAACATTCTGAATTATTTTTTTAACTCCAATCTAAGCACAAGCAGTGATGAAACACCATTCACAAAATGTCTGAAATGGGAATATTTTCCATTACAGATTTTTACTCTGATGTACTTAGAGCACAATAGTGTACTTTAAAAGTATTTATGTACAAAGATTCTTTTAACATTGTATTAATTTGCCATCTATAACACTGTAGCTTATTGTACACTCTAAAATCTGCTTCAGTTCTCACAGCGCAAATATGTAACATAACCACAGTCTTCAAGATGTAGGCTGATTCTACTGAAGCAATTAACTTGCATGATCATAACTTCTCTTCCTGAAAGTATCAGTAATATTAGCCCTGTAGAATTTATCCATTTAAGGAGGATGCAAAAGAGAGCTGCTAGATTTGCTGACAATGTTTAAATTAAACAAATAAATGGGCACCATTTTTTCTTGTACAGGTTTAAAAATAATCCAGCATCTTTAAAATAAATTCACTGAACATTATTTTCTGTAGTAATGAATTACACAAACGTCTTTCATCAAATGCATATTTTCAGTGTTTTCTTGGACTGTTGTCCACCAAGAGCCGTAGTATCGATGAAAAGCCTCCCCTACCTAAAAAAGCAGTGTTTATTCTGAGCAAAGTCAATAAGGAAAGGAATCCCACTACTGTTTAAAACTATACCATGTAGCAAGAAATAAAAATTGATGCTTAAACCTATTTAATGCTGAAGAGCATAATTAAATTAATATAGCATATGAACAGCATATTCAAAGTAGGATCCTTTTCTCTTCCCTCCATTTTAAATTAGCCCACAATGCAAATTGCAGTTCTAATGGTTGTAGGATTTGCCTCCCTCTTATAGGCAAGTCAAAATGCTGAAGACATGATGCTAAAAAAATAAATATATTAACCTCTACTGTAGGAGAGGGTAATAGCACCACGCATAGTTAATACTGAAACTAATTCACCACCAACTGCTGTAATGTCTCAAGCATGCTACAGTCCACATAATCAAATTAACTTGATTCAGTTATCTCACATTGTATACCAGATGCTATTACCTGCCCAGATTTGGCCTCAGAAGGATACAGCCTGACATACAGCTTTCTAAAGCACTCTCATCTTCAACATCTTACTATTCTGCTTCTTCCATCTGTCTGAGGCTCAAAGGACAGTCTTGATGTCCCTTAGACCACTGACCATCAAGGGTGCAACATTTAAAAAAAAAAAACTTATTCAAGGTGAAAGATCAGTTTCAAACACAGTTGAAACTGGGCAAAAAGGGAACTACTTAGACATGTGCATTAATATTTGGGCAATGTTGCGAGCTAGTGCTGTATGAGGTAAACAAAGAGTACCAGGCATACTCAGGCAGCAGACTGTCTCCCAGCAAGACTTGTTTCAAAAGCTATATCCCATTAAATTTCCATCTCTGTCTTTGAGAATGGAAACACAAAATGTCAGTACCAATAAAACTGCAATTCAGTCACTTAACGCAATCAAAAATGTTTGTGGTCATAAATTTGCTATTCAAATGCCTTAAAGAGCTTTAAGGTATGCAGGTTACACAGCCCCAGTTTGTCTTTTAGTTCCTTTATACAGAATGGTGGAGCAGTTTCATTATGGGAAAAAAGAACTCTCCTGGTTTTCTCTAATGAATTACTAAAAGAAAAAGAAAATATTCCCAAATGTTTCCATCTAGTAAAATTAAATATAGCTGCCCTGCACTCAAATAGCATATGCTACTTAAGTTTCTTGGAAGCATAAAAAAAAAATAATATGTAAAAGATAGATTGGGAAAAAAGTTTAAAGTCAATATAAAAGTAAAGAATTCTATTATACTGAGTTTCTAAAGATGATGCTTTAAAGGTCAAATTCTGAAAGCAAAAGTGACAGCAATTAGCAAATAGCTAAGTTCAGGGAATACTTTTAAGGGAAATACGCAGGACTGCGGCTTTTATAAGAAAATCAAGGATTTCCTGCAGAACAGGAAGAACAGTGAGCTTAAGTCATTTCCATTCAGATAGGACTGCCTATGTCTCAGTAATGCTGCTTGGAAAAAAAAAAAAAAAAAAGACATTCAACTCATGTTAGGTATCTCAGAGATATTCAAGGTGTGACTTAGCCCAGTTTAGACCTCACTGAATAGAAAAAAAAAACAACAAACACCACAGGGATTTTTTTATTTTTTTTTCAAAGTTGAATGTTTAAGAAGCAAACAACTACAGAAAGCAAGATGTTTATGAACACCTCTTGCAGAAAGAAGATAAACCAATTATCTAAATTTTGCACAGATTTTTGTTTTGTTTTTAAAAAAAAGGTCTGTGAAACTGTCAAATGAGCCCACAAAAATATGTATCTGGATTTTTCACTGTGCATGCTCTAGACTAGAGTTGCCTTCTGAGAGGATCTGTGGGGGAAAAGCAAAATTAGCATTATAATTTCCTTGCTTTGAATACATTCCTTTTCCTTTATCTCATGTTTTGATGAAGATCTTGATTGCATCTGTCTGTTCCCACAACTTAACTTCTGGCTTACAAAAACATAAAGGGTGTTTTTAAATATATATATTTTATTGCATAGACTTATCAGAACACAATGATTCAACAGCTCGATACTTGTGGGAATAAATCTAAACTTCACTGAAAGGAAAATGATGCAGGAAGGATTATTATGAGAAACTTCCTACTAGCATGCAATGAAGTTCTTGGCCACTTCTGCCTGTGCTTCTTTGGGAGTCTGTTTTATTAAGAACTAAGAGAAAGAACAGAGAGAGGAAAGAGGAGGTCAGGCAGCTGTAATAGGAAACTACGGAAGCACAAGCAGGAGTCCTCGCCCTGTGAATACAAGAAAAACAAACCAGAACTGGCAAAGGTGTCCAAGGTCAAAAAGATAGACCAGTGAAGATGGACCTCAGCATCTCTACATTTCAGAGTAAAGATCAGAGACTGGTGTATATAGAAATGAACTTACCACGTTAAGTCTTACTTTCTATTTACAAGGCTATACAATTCTAGCAAGAAAGCTATGTCCCCTGAGTTCTGTCTGGCTCTGTCCATTCTTTAATTCAGCTGCCCACCTCTTTAGACCATGGTAAGTCTTCTGCCATTTTTCTTTATTTTCTATGTAGAACAAAGATAGAACTTTCCACCACAGTGGATTCATTCATCCAATATGAATTGCCTATATTTCAAGTGTGGCAACTGTCTCTTAGTTGTAAAAATAGAACATACACTAAAAAAACCCAAATTATTTGCTATCTACCAACCGAATATACAGAAATTAAGAAGTACTTGGCTTCATTTACCTGGTTCTTTTTCCAACTTTTTTTAATTGTTGTTTACATCTCCAGTTACTGAAGATGCCATACATTTATTTTTTCCCTTCCAGAATCCACAGGAAAAAAGGCATTTTAAAAGAAAAGTCATCTTTCTCTGTTAGTGAACTTATTATAGAACAAGTAACTTTATTTAATCAACAGCAACAGAAAACTAAGACACAGTACAAAAGCTAAAAGACAAAA